TATATATATATAAAAAATTATTTACACAGTCAATCACTGGAATGTTTTTTCGTTTTTTCTCACACATGTTTGTGCCATATCTATTTTATTTGAGAAGGTTTTTTATTCAAGAACCTAAATTTATATCCCTATTAGTAATGGGGAGAAAGTTAGGAACCTATTAGAGTACACTCATAAATGGTCACTTAATAGGGATGGCATATGGGCTCACTAGGTGAAATGGGAATACCAAAGCTAACTGGGGATAATTATTCATACAGCATTTACGAGTGTGGACATACATATATATACATATATGGATATGAATATGCACGGTAGGATACATGATCTCACACATACAAACCTAACAGCGTAACTAATTCTTCAGCACAGGCGACCCTCCGCAAATTGTTCAGTCCTGAAACGCCCCCTCTTGTGGCCCCAGGGCCCCCAAATTAACCCCCTGACGGAGTGGTCACGTTGCGATTTCGATCCCTATCAACACTCTATCTGAGGAATCCTGTTTGCATCTGGGAATCCCATTGGGTGGTAAGTGAGAGGTGTTTGGGTGTGGGGGTGACGATGGTGATGGGTGTCCCTCTGTCCGGCGGAGCCATCAAGAGCACAGTTCTTTCTGGTGTGTAGACTTCAAAATGGATTTTTGTACTGTATCACTTGATGAATTAATTTAAGATTAAATACATATACATTTCTTATTAGATAGATACATGTTCCCCTGAGGAAGCAATATGCAAAACGCGTAGGGACTGGATACATGGAATTCCCTACTGAATATAATGCCTAACAAGATGAATTGGAGCTAGGATGCAATTTGTTTTTTAATTTCTGCCTAAAATGTTATTCGATTTAGGTTGTATTCAATGTAATGTATACATGGTTTTATGCTGTATATGTGTAAAATAAATATTTTTTATATCAATTGAATCAAGTGTTGGTGTTATACCTCTCAACAAAACCTCATTCTTTCTATATGTTGTTTTAAAACTGTTCACAATAATAAATGATTTGTGTAGATAAGATTTTTTTTTTTGCATGAAATGGACATTTAAAAACGAAAAGCTTTATTTTATATTGAATTGTTATTCTATCTCACAAAGCATTACTTTATTATCACATCAAAAGGTCCCTTTCCTGCTTTTCTCTATAGACACCTCATTAAAACTCAGTCACCACTAGCATCAAACTAGCACTGTTATAGTAAGAACACTGCAGAAGAACACATAGTAAATCTGAGTATACACGGGTCTATTTTTTTCATTCAACCTGTGGGCTGAACAAAAAAATAGAACAGATCCCTCCAACAATATTTATGAGTGTTGATCAATGAATACCTTGCTGTTTCTATTGTATTCTGACAGCGGGCGCTGGACGCTGTCAGAATGCCCAGGCAGAGCTGCAGCTGATTGGTTGCAAGCTCCATTCAGCTGAGAACTTTCCAAACTGCTTGTTCGATCAGCTGATCGAGGGATAGACAGCCGGAAAGGTGCCGACAGCATCGCCCACTCAGCAAAGTTCAGCCAGTTCATCAAGTACCGGCCAAAATTTGCTGCATGTATAGCCTACTTTATGAGTTCAGTTCCTCTTTTAAGAGAAGCTTTATCCTCCAATTTACCATCTCCCATAAGATTTACTTTTAAGGCATGCCAACTGTTAAGGATGCCAGTGTGCTTATTTCAACTCTCAACCGAACTTTCAAGACCTTAAATGACTGCTGTCTTTAGACATCTGCGGCAGCAAAAAATCATTTTGTTTTGTTTTGGATTTTTGGTAATTTCGTTTTTCAAAATGGGTCCAAAAGTCAATTCGTTATGTTATGCGGATTTGTCCGAATCAGAAATGTTCATAATTTCAGATATGTTATATAATTACGAACTACATTTCCTTGCAGCAAAGTGACATTAGAAAAAAAGTGACATTTTACTTTTTGACAGTGCACAGAAACAATCTGGGTTCCCCCCGGCAAAGCACTGTCCCCATGTCGAGGGTATGTGGCCTGGTATTGTGCAGGGGGGGGGTTTTTTGCGGGGGGGGGGCCCCTCCCCCCCCCCCCCCCTTTCTGCTCTGCCAGGCTGCTGCTCAGATCAAGGGTCTGGTAAGGGATTTTAGGGGGGCACGCATTTTTTACGTTTTTTTTGTCGTTCCACCCCTAAAATTCCTACCAGACCTAAAGGCTCTGGTATGAATTGGGGAGGGGACTCCATGCTGTTTTTTATTTTATGTTTACATTTAACAACAAAAGTTCATTCCGAATGACATTCAGAAAAAAATTTCAGATGTATCCGAATTTTGTAATCGATATGTTTGGATTCGTTACTCCTCTTATTTGGAAATTCAGATGCGTACGAGTTTCTGAAAATTCATACAAATTTCAATTAGGAATGAAACGAATCGCAGATGTCTAGCTGTCATAGCTGAGCATCGTCATAGCAACCGCAATTCAAACAGAGGCTAAGATGGCACCTTCCTTGGTTGTAAGTAATTCAAGGTTGAAGGAGCAACTGTTTAGATGCTTCTGAATTGACTTTTACATGAAAAAAACCTAACAAACTTAAAAAACAACGTTAAAACTAAATTGAACAGTAAATTTTTGTAAGAAAAAAAAAAAGGTATAGAGCATCTAAGGGCATATTTCTAAAGCAAACATTCACTGCAGGTGTATTTTCCTGGTACATGTTTTCACCTGCAGTGAATGCTTGGTAAATGTCCCATTTACTGTTTTAAAAATATGCCCTCAACACAGCATGCATTATGCTTTTGTGTCTGATGTCAGCGATTCTATAAAATCCAAGCAAAAAAAATACATGAAAACTTCACAACCAATGCTGTGAATCTCTACCCAAAGTTCACATAAGGTACAAACACAGTTTATATATATAAACTACACTGAAACTCTAGAATATCAATGTCATCAATTCTCACCAAGACCAGGAATAACTGCTGTATACTGAGGATGAAAAAGAAACAAGTAAAAAAAAAAGATGCTAGTTTACTTACATTGTGTGTCACATTTATCTTTATCATCTCATTTGAGGTAGTCACAATATGTGGCATTGTAATTAATCTATCCAAAGTGACCTAAAAGGAGCAAGATACAATTACACAAAGATTTAACAGTCCCTTGCAGTCACAGTTATGGCATTTTCCTGGCATTTTTCTTATTCAGATGAGGATTTATTCACCAAGATAGCACATCAGGATTGTGGGAACTACATTAAAAAAAAATAGCAGTTAATTTCAGTCGAGTCCAATGAGATTTTAAGGTCACAGCCACATGGTTTAAATAAAGATCCCTATGCTTGTGCTAATGTTTTGCAAGTTGAGCCTCTTATGTAATGTTCTTATTCATGTGGGATTACACTATTGTGGTGCAGTAACATGTCAAGTGCAGTTCTGGCTGCGCTGGGCTGTGTTGGAAGTTCACTGAAAACCTATTGTCTGCCTTAAAGTGACATTAAAGTCTCAAGGTGTTTTTCCCCATTCTAATTCTGCTTTAAGGACTTACCTTATGTGATGCCTCTTGATGCAATCATCTTCTTCCTTCCACTTGTTTCCAGCAGTCCCTCCAGCACTCGTGCCAGTCTCTGATCTAGCGCAGACTGCTGTTTCTACCTGTCCCACGGAGTCTGTCCAACGTGCACGCTCACGGCTGCGTGCATTTATTTCTATTGCGTCTCTCCTCCTCTCCCCGCCGGTGATATGGACTGTACATGCACACGCCCACATCATCCTCCTGCACGGCTGTTCTGCAGCCGTGAGTGAGCGATACAGACAGAGGTAAGTAATTGTCTATTTGACAATTTTTTTTATGTTTTTGTATATATCTACTGCTTGAAAGAAAACAACAAGACTTTGATTCCACTTTAACCCCTTCTTGACGGGAGACGTACTGTGTACGTCCCGTCACAAAGTGGCTATATGACTGGCCACGTACAGTGTACGTGCCGAGTTATATAAGCCTCTGTAATGCTGGTAACTGCTGATTCTCAGCAGTTCCAGTCATTAATGAATGCCTCACTATTGAGGCATTCATTAATGAAATAGTTAAGCTTTTGTAAAAGATTCTTTCTTTCATTAATGAAAGAATGAAGCCTTTACATTCAGATACGGGTTCGCTAAATAGCGATCCCGTATCTGAAAGCTGAAGATAGCAGAGAGGTAGCAGTGACTCACCTCTCTGCTATTCGTTTTGACAGCTGTATAGCCCGATGTTAAATGATACATTTCAAGCACTAGATACAAATGTATCTCTTGAGTGAAATGTATCAGTTTGATCGTCTAGGAACGATCAAAGACCTTTAGCGAGATCTGATTCTGACATGCTGTCAGGATCAGTCTCTAAAGTTATTATTAGCTGTTCCTAAGTTTGGAGCAGCCTGATAATGACTAAAAATAAAAAAAAAGTTAATTTATTAGGCAGTCATAGTGACTGCTCGATATAAACTGACAAAAAAAAAATATTTTTTTTTACAAAAAAAAAAATAAAGTGTACAAAAAATTAGGAAAATAAAACTTTTATATATAAATATATTTTTATACTATAATTATTATTAAAAAAAATCTACACATAATAATAATAATAATCAAAACTTGCTGCTGTGGAAGAATCACACAGCAAAAATGTAAAAATGTAAAAAGTGTGTCAGTCATTTAGGAACAGAAACTGAAAACTAGCTCAGTCATGAAGGGGTTAAAGTAGTATTAAACGCTCAAACTTTTTTTAAATACAAATCCAGATCTAACAAATTCCCCAGTAAAGTATTTCTTCACAGTTTTGCTAAAACACTTAGGCCCCATTCACATTGAGCGATTCGCAAATCATGCGTCTGCAAGGGGAAGGAGCCACCCTAAAACAGGATATTAGGTCCAGTGATCAGGGGACTACCTGATTCTGCAGAAAACTAAAACTTTTAAAAGTCAAGGAGCAGCATTCACTGCAATGGATTTAATCAGCATTTGAAATAGCTTAAAAACATTTTAGTTTAAATATTACTGTAGCGCAATGCATATTAATATGCATACGTAATACCTCAAATGTCTGAACCAAGCCTTCATAGAGCCCTTGAATCCTACAAAAGAGCCACATAATTAAAACACCTTTTATAGCTTTGTTTTTGTCTGTACTATTTTATTCAAGATCAAGGTCAATCTTGAATAAGCTCACTTCTGTGATAAATTATAACTTCAATACAAATTAGCTACCTAAACGTGAGATTGTAGTCCATCAAGCGAGTGAGCTTGGAGTGGTGGCCATGGTCCTGTGAGTTGTAAAGTCGCCACCGCTCCAAGCTTACTCCCTTGATGGACTACAATCTCACGTTTAGGTAGCTAATTTGTTTTGAAATTATAGTCTATCACAGGAGTGAGCATGGAGTGGTGGCTTCTTTACAACACACACAGGGACCATGGGGAACAAAGGTAGCCACCCTCCAGAAGGAAGGACAGTGTCAGCAGGAATTCAGAGATGATTAAATGATCTATAGATGAGTGATACACAAATAAGATACATTTTTGTCAATAGTTAGGGTACGTGAATGCAAGTTTTACCTGCTAAGTTTAATGTCACTTTAAGATGCAATTAGTGTGCTCTTTGTATGCCACTCATCAGAAAAACATTATTAGAAAAATTAAAAAATAAATATTTTAAATGACTCATAATGACACATAAAATGAATGAGATACGAATATACTATACTTACAGAGGCTACAGAAGAAATATGATATTTAACCAATTCCAACAGTTTGTGTTTAGCCTGAAAAAGAAACAATATGTTTACAAAAAATACAGATACATTAGAACTAAACATCATTTTTTCAAATCCATTTACCTGTAATCCATTCAGTTACATATGAACTGCTGCTGGCATATTAATTGCTCAGTTTATCCGAAAAAAAAGAATATGTAACTGTGTAAATTTAACGTACATCTAAAGCCAATTTTTTTTTTCATATTGGATAGAGCAGGGGAGGGTTAAACCTCTGTCAGCTTTTGTTTTTGACATATTTGTCTCATTGAGGGACATTTCCCTTCACTTCGTGTCCTGTAGACTCTACGGGACGTGAGAGGATATCTTTCCAATGTGAGGAAACTCCCCTCTTGGTTTATCGCGCAATTTCAGCCGCGAAATCGCGCATATTTCAGCGCAATATCGCTCTATGTAGCTTGTCGAATGCATTTCAATGGAGTTTCAATCTCGCAGCTCAATGTCGCCTGCAGCTCGTCTCTCAAGCTAGACCCTCGTTCATGACCCTTTTTTCCACAGATGTCGCGCGATTCGGCTCCAATGTACCGGTGATATTGCACGACTTGGTTGCACGATATCACGCTACATTTGCACTGCAAAATGGAAGGAAAGAATGATGTCACATCAAGATCGCTGTTGATTGGTTACAGCCCAAAGTAGCAACGACGAAATCCCGACAGAAAAACGCGATATGTAGCGCGATAAAATGTGCACTGTCGCTCAATATCGTGCAATGTAGCTCAAAGCTGTTCAGCACAAAATCGCGCGGAAAAAACCTGCAATATCCATGTCGCTCAGTGTGAATGGGGTCTTAGACAGTTGTCCCAGGTACCCATTGTAAAAGTTCCCCTGAGGGCAATTAGAGACAGAGAATCTCTCTAACGAGGACACAGACAGCAATAAAATCCTGAAAGTGGTTCTGTCCCCTCACCATTCTATCCAAATTAAATTAGTTTTGGCTTTAGTTCTACTTTAAACTAGTTATATGGCACTAAATACAAAGGAATTTTAAAATATTGACTCTTACCTGAGTCAAAAGATATATCAACCTTCCATCTCTTAAAGAATCCACAGCCTTGTTAGATGGGACAAACACAGTGAAGAAGCCGTGTCCATTTAACATTAGTGGAAGATCACAGTTCTGGAAATACAGAGATATGGTTTGTACATCAAGCTAAATTTACAATGTTATAATGTACAATTAAAAACAAAGCAGGTACTTCAGTTCAAACACATCATGTGAAAAGCATCTGCACATGTTTAGGTATTCAGAATGAAGAGGAATTTGATTTTCACACAGTTGGATTATTAAAGTAAAAATTTTCACACAATTATTTTAGGGAAAGATTCTCAGCTCCATTAATAAATTAGCTTGTTTTCTCTATTTAAAAAGCAGTGCTGCAATCCTGCGTTTAAAAAAAAAAAAGGAAAGAGTTAGGGCTGGTGCAGACCTGAGCGATCCAGGACACGCGTCCCAGGATCGCACGTTTGTGCACAATTGCAGAGAGCGATTGCCGAGTGGCCCCATTGATTTCCATGGGGTACATTCGCATAGCAATCGCAGAAAAAAGGTACATGCACCTTTTTTTTGCGATTCACAACGCGCAGCTGTTTTAGCCACAATCTTGTTTGGATGCACGGGTGGAATCGTGGCAGGAAACCATGCAATCTGCCCAGCATGATTGGGGTGCCATTAGAAAATGGCACCAGCAGCGCGATCGTTGGTGATGGGCGACTCCGTGACTGCGTGGCAATCCGGTGCAGGCCCTAAGAAAATAAAAAAATCAGGAGTAGTACTTAGTCATGAGGTCACATGACCAGCTCTCCTCCAAAAAGGGATTTCTATCTGCTCCTTTAGGCAGAGAGAACAGCGTAGGATACCAAGTGATGCATATTGCCGCCCAAATGGTATGAGTGAGTGGGCCGTTGTATGCAGGAGCCCTGCAGAGCATGACAGAGGGCAGATTGTAATATTTTCTCTCCATTATAAATTAGCCCCTTCATTTAAAGAAAGGTAGAGCTGTACTTTAAAATGAAAAGACGCATCTGTGTAACAATTGTCGTATCGGCTTTGAGGACAAGAACAGTCATCCATCTAGCATAGATCAAAAGAGAAGACAGAGCGTGGTCTGAGAGTTGAATTATTAGTGTTCTTTTATGTCATTTGCCTGCTGCTGCATGTGACCTTGCCCAGGAGCAGAGCAACCAATAATGGGGCATTAAGGATATCTATGTCTTTCCAGTCAATCACTAGGAGTTTCATAGCCAGTGGTGCATGCTGGAGAAGGATATAAATATCCGGGTCTGACCATGTGAGAGTCTTTACCCCCTGAGCCTCCTCCCTGGGAGAGGATGCGTTATTATAAGTGAGCTATCTGACCAGGCCTGCAGCCTGCAGGTGGTCAGGTACGGACCCAGTCGGGGTCAGGAATTGTTCCTGGGATGGAGAGAGCAACTTCGTATGCTGGAGGCCAGGATGGGCTTGGACCCTCAGAGAGAAGTCTGGTGTCTCACCCAGGGGAGTTGTCAAACATGTCTGCTGACCAGCTATGGTTCTCCGACACAGTTTAACCGCATTTTCAGTTTAAAGGCTCTTTACACTGTGAAGCTGGAAAGCAGTTAGTGAGTGTGGAGTTTTGTGTTGTCCGAGATATCTGCAGCCCTAACCTCTCCCTTTTTTGCCGTTCATGGAAAAAAGCATTGTAAAATCCTTAATGTCACTGGTGCCCAATGTTGCTTTCACATCTTACATACTGGCTAAGGGCTCATCCCTGAGCTAAAATGTCATATTCCCCTGCCCCTGAAGTCAGGGGGGTGCTACACTTTATATTCAGTAAAGAAGGCGATACCCTAAGGCAATAATAACGAGTATAACCAGCAGGTTAGGGTGAGATGGGTTTAAAAGAACCAAGAAGTCCTCTATCAAACCAGTGTAAACATAGCATAGTCCTCTGAAAACAAAACAGATTTACATCTTACTCCGATCACAATCCAAAAGAAAGCATTAGGAATATATCCTTAGAACAGTGGCTTGCCTGAGAATCTTGTGTTACGCAACCTTGCTCAGTTCAGAAGATAATTACAGAAGACCAGAATAGAGTACAACTGTATGAAAAATGAGCAGTGTGACCTCTTCTCACATGTCTTCTCCGCTGCTATTTCGTGGTTTCAGACTATGTGAAATTATTCTGAAGCGTGTGACACCATCATTTGGCTTTGTAAACTGTTCAGTGGAATTGGCAATACTGCAGGTGATATTTTGCCAATCCCCTTAAAAAAAAAACTCAGCTACAACCTCTGTAAAGAAGTTTTCTGATGCTCCAGTCTTTTATTTCTGAATACTAGTTGACATTAGTTTCTTTTATAGTACATCATACCCTTTAGACTACACTTTTCAGATAGCAAAATCCTTTCTCTAAACCCTAGACATTTAATACTAACTCATGCTGTCCATAGGCATGGTCCTTTTTTGGCATTTTCAACCACTTTCAATAGCTTTCAATGACAAAAATGACCATACAATAGGCAAGCTAACATGGTGGTAACAGATTGCTTTATCAGTTTGATCGTGATTGTGTAATGAGTATTGTTTTGTGTGTTACTTCCTGCGCTTCACTGCTTAAAAGGTTGGGATTCAAAAGAGTCAAAGCTTATTGTTCACAATCCTTTCATACAGTCTGTCTCCTTTTAGCTGGGGAGGATTTCCACCAGCTTGAATAATTGTTAACTGATTGAGTATATACATTAAATATACAAAAGCAGAGGTTTCCTTCAGTTGAACCAGCATGCCATTGATCCAAATATATAGGAAACTGAAATTATAAGCAAACCTTCCTTGCATTTTCCTATAACAATCAAGCTAAGATCTACTCCCTCTTGCCTAATAAATCACTAATCACTGAAGCCATCCATTACAATCAAAGGCCAATAGGGAGGCTCAAGATTGAGGAAGGGCAGGGCACTTTAAACTTACAGGAAAAGTCAATATTTTCACTGACCGTCAGCTACTGTACATTTTCAGTTGCAGTTATTTTAAAGGTAACTTCTATTGATACATTTTTTTTCATAATGTTTTGTTCCTGGAACCTAATGGTTGGGATAGAAAATGAAGACCTCCAGCTGCAAGTATTAGGTAATGTAAATAATTATATAGTAAGGGTCGCAGTGCAATAGACATATATCTAAATGGTTGCTAGCTGCAATATGTTTATACACAAGGCCAAAAGGTAGTGTTTAGAATTAGACCTGTCATACTCAGTATTGTACATGTAGACCAGCCCTGGAAAATAAAATAATGCAATCAGCAATATCACAGAAGGTTCTATACCCAGTTTTACACAGTGATTTTAGCAGGGAACCCGGAGAACAGCATCCCCAGAGTTCTCTACCTCCAGTGTGGCTGGCGGGAGTGTCAAAAAAGACAGGGACAGGGAAAGAAGAAACCCAGCATGCGACACAAATGTCACGGGACTAAATAAGATTGATCCCCCCCCCCCGGGTCCAGCCCAAACAATGGAGCATTAAATACCAAAAATATTAATT